AAGAGTGGAAATGTGTATGAACCTTAACACTTGAGCTGTGAATGTAGAAAAGTACTGTGCAACATTATATTTTTTCTAGCCTGCAGAGAGCCAAAGATCTCTGACCTGGTGAGACAGAAAGTGCTTCCAATGCAGGTTCAGTCAAGGTGAGAATGCAATATCCTCAACTACAGTTTAAAGAACAAATGTGCTGGCTTTTCCCGTCCTCTCCTTTCCACCCTGTGCATTTAGCCTGCCTGAGCAGCCATTCCTACAACTCCACTGACAACTGAGCAATGAGAGCTGCTGGGAGGGGAGGTCTGTGTAAGCACAGGTTTGCAAGCTGCTGGGGGCAGCTAGGAAGGAAAGCACAGTCAGAGATGTGCCAGCTGCTGAACAATGCCAGAATTAGGATTGCAGGCGTGAGAACAGTCTGAACAGTTCCTTGGAGCTAAGGATGTGTCCTAAAATATGAACGTGTGCCATCTTAGTGAAGAAATGAGTGGGGAGAGCACAAGGCAAGAAGGATGTATAGCGATATAATCTGGTCCCATTAAGTTTCACTATACAAAGCAATAATGCACAATTGATATAAAGTTTGGCTTGGAGAGGGCATGGGGGAGAGGAGGAAGTAGGAGGGGAGGAAGGAATGAAAGAGCAGACCCTGTCTGGTTTTACCCTTCTGCTGATTTCTTGAAATAATCCCAATCTGAATTAGTTATTCTGGAATGTTTAGGTTCATTTTTGTCGAAGCAGTAAATCCTCATTTCAGTTTTTTACTTGCAGTACATGATTCATTTATTTTTTGATGCAGTGCAAGAACTGTCCTCATCTTTAAGAACAGCCATACCAGGTCAGAATAAAGGTTCAGCTCAAGCTATACCCTGTCTCTGGCAATGGCCGGTAGCAGATGCCTAGAGAAGACTTTAGGAATAAGGCAAGCATGTACTTCCAAACTATTATCCCACTCTCCAGCTCTGTGATGTCTGGTTGTAGAGATGGCCTTGAGAAGCCATCGGGAGGCTTTGGTATCCATCAGGGGGGTTTTCTTGCTTACATTTCTCAATTCACTTTTGAACACAGGTCTTTTTCTGCTAAATGTTTCAGATATTAACACCAGCTGCATGAGAGTGCATACATGCCCCCCACCTCCATAGCATCATGATGGCATCTCATGTTCGTGGACTGTTTTTATTCCTTGAAGGAAGATCTCCATTTCGTAGGTTAATAGTGAGGCAAAGTGTGGATTATGCAATATTACAAGGTCACGTGTGAGTAGGGAACGGGACCCTTGCAGTCTGACCACAGCAGCTCTCATCCTTCTTCCAAAATACAAGAAACTTGCCATTGCTTTTGTTCTTAATAACTTTACTTTCCTTGAGTGCTGTTATGTATCACCTCACAGATTCTGTATGATGGAGGCAATCTGTGTCTCTCTGTGATCAAAAATGGAATTATCACATGGAAAAAACCATTTTTATGGCTTTTCTGGATGCAGGCAGTACCAGAAATATCAAGGGAAATTAATTTCCTGACGAATTTCTCAGATGTAAATAGTTTTTTTCTGTAGATATGTGCTTTTAAGCATTAGAGAAAGGGACATGCTCTAAGTGAGGAAGATTTAAGTATGACTGTAGTCAAGCTTATGGTCCATATCTAGGCTGGTGCATATATTTATATTTCTAATTATGTGCCATGTTTCAGCTAATCAGTGCAATTTCTAAATGGAAGCTTAGTGATTATTGAAATTATGAAATCTCTGTAGTGAGGTAATTAACTGTGTTAATTGCTAAATCAAGCAACTTTATCAACATGATTTAATCTGAATCGATTCCTAATACTGCCTATTTAAATGTTCACTAGAGAAAAGATGCGCCTAACTCCTCTCTAGTGAGAATTAATTACAGCAATGTCAACTTCCAGGGTAATTTCTTTATTTAAAAACATGGTATCTCAGTCCTTTTGTGAACGGCAAAAAATGTTCCACATTCAGAGGCAACTGGTTGCAATCCAGAAACTGTAAAATGAAAAACAAAAAGAGACACAAACAGAAAATTTATAAACATATGTGTATTTATATATGTGTGTATGTATATATGTAAATAAAATAGCTGGGATGTAAATGGGAGTATTGCTAAACTATGTTGGAATGGTATTTTTGCCTTATTCTTTCATAAGCAAACTTCACGTTTTTACATAATACTTAACACAGCTGCTGATAAAGCTATGGTTAATGATCACTTTTCTATTATCATTATTATCATCATCACTGTTATCATTATTACCTTGTGTTCTTTGTGCCTTGAAACAGGGAAACACCTTTGCATCAACTTTACTCATCTGCATTCAGCAAGCAAAAGCTTGAAATCTACCCAACCAAGAAGCCAGCACTGCCCTTTGGAGACCTGCCCCCGGGGTACCAGCACCTGCACACTCAGCTTCAGTACGAGTGCATTTCTCCCTTCTACCGCCGCCTGGGGAGCAGCAGGAGGACTTGTCTGAAGACAGGAAAATGGAGTGGGAGAGCCCCTGTGTGTACTCCAAGTGAGTCTCCACGGGAAAATCCCCAAAATGCACACATCTGCGGGTGGATGGGGGAACAGGATGTGTGTTCATCTTAGAAAAGGAGGGAGTGCCAGTGGTGTAGGCTGCCTGTGCTTCCACCTGAGAGATAGGAGCAATAAAGCTTGGAGAATATATGGCTCTTGCTAACCACCAGGAGAACTTGTTCAGTTGATGGTGAAGTGCTTTCAGCACTGTAATTTGTATACCCTGCTAAGGAAGGGTTCAAACTCTACGTTTGAACAGTGCACACGATAAGTTCAGATAAAATCTTATCCAGAACTACTGCACCAAGTAAGTCAGGGTAGGAACACCAGAAGATTCAGTGCAACTCATTGTGGGCAGTAGGCAAACTGTGAAAAGAAGATCCTAACATCAAGCAGACTTTTCGTGGTGTTGTTTGTGGCTTTGCTTTGAGAGCATCTCTTGTACTGAAAAGTGCTTCATTCCATCCTTTTCACTATGGGCGTGCAGACACTACATCCCAGGAAAAACCAGAACGTCCTAAGGGAGACTGAAAAAACGTCACCACATGATGAAACTCTCTCAACTGAATTAAACCTTTCCTAATACAGGAAGTGTTACCCCCGGTCTGAGCACAGGTAGTATATTCCTAGAATAGACAAGTCTGTTTTCACAGGCACAAATTCACCTGTGCTAAGGTCACTTCTAGGAGAGGACCTCACAGTCACCCTGTGACTGCCTCGGGTGAGTTTGAGTGCACTGCAGGCTTTATAGTCTTTTATTATAAGCAAGAATCAGGGGTGTTCTTTCCATTTCTTTATGCAGTCGTCTCATTATAGTGAAGCTTGGTACGGTTGTCATGAAAATTCACCTGCTCAGGTGCTAAATCCACATTCCTACTTCAGTCAGAAATTCAGATAATGGAAAAATTGAAAGTGTTGTTTCAAGCTATATAAAATACTCTCATAATTTTGCATGTCAAACACAGAGGTTAATTAGAAAGCTGTCCCTCATGCTAACCATTGCAGTTTGGCTTCTTTTGGCACATCCTAAGAAGGAATCAAGAGGGATATTCTGATTCTTTGGTGGGGAGAATGTGTTATCTCATTCTTGGTTCATGTTTCCTCAGTCTGTGGAAAAGCAGAAAACATCACCCTTCAGAAGACAGTGACTTCTACCAGGTGGCCCTGGCAAGCAGCAATCTATCGGACAGCCAATGGGGTGAAGGAGAACAGTCTCCGGAAAGGGACTTGGATCCTTATCTGTAGCGGGGCCTTGGTGAACGAGCGCACCGTGGTGGTGGCAGCTCACTGCGTCACTGATCTGGGCAAGACCATCGTGCTCAAGACAGCAGAGCTGAAGGTGGTTCTGGGGAAATTCTACAGAGATGATGACAGGGATGAAAAGACCATCCAGAACCTACGGGTGAGTAAGTCTGGGAGTGGAAAATGATGAGCACAGACAGATCTTGATCATAGCCATTTTGATGGGGAGAAAAAGTGTACCCTTTGAGTAATATATTGGTTTACACACACTGTTCTCTGAAATGCATATCTGCTGTCATGGCAGTAGTATCTACTGTCAAATGCAGAGCAGTCACAGCACAAGGAGGGCTCGTGCTGTGGTTCACGGAATTCCCCTGATGCTGTCCAACTCGTATGTTCACCCCCTAACACAAAGTAAGCAAAGAGTTCAGGTTCCATGGGCCATAATGTCTTGAGTGAAATTGCCAGAAAAAAAGTACAAGAGATGCCAGCTACTGTCAGAAGTGATTAGCATAAGTTATGAGGGAAACACCTCTGCTCTAGATCCTGGTTTGATGCCATGAGTGCATTTCACATCTCAGCCCCAAGGCTGCACAGCTCTAAACTCAAAAAAAGTTTGTCTGACTCCAGCTGCAAAAAATAGCACCTCAGGCTCACCAGAGGGGTTTGCTTTTTTCAAGAACAACTAGGAAGGTTGAAGTCAAAATGAGGAGAAATACAGCAATTTTGGCTGTGTGTTTCTCTTTTTCTGGAGTGAGGGCATATGTGGGTTAATGAATGGATTTTATCCAAGAAATCATAATAATTATTTATTTGATTTGATTCTT